AAAAAAAAAAAAAAAAAAAAAAAAAAAAAGTGGCTCTCCTGGTGAAAAATACATAGAAATCAAAGATTCAGGTAAAAGGTTGAATATAACTTATTACTGGAAATGTGAGTGTAGGAAAAAAATCAATATTCATGAATTAATATTTTTTTAACAATATGTAATTTAAAGTATGTAAAACTGTTATATATGAATATTTGAATCATGCATCTCTAAAAATATTTATATTTTACTTGCAAAAAAATCCCACAAGACACCTGGAGTGACCTTACTATGAAAATGAGTGTTCACCTTATATTTGGAGCAGCAGTATATTCAGGCATATACAGTATTTCTCTGCTCTATCCCCACAGCCACCAACAGGTCTAAATAAGACCAGGTGTCCCTTCTCAATGTTCCAGGGGCCCTAATCACACTTACCTGTTGTGGTCTGTGGGCATTTTGTGCAAGTTGGTCTGATTCAGCTGTGCTCTTGAAGTGGCACCAGGGATGTTTGCTGGAAAAAAGGGAGAAAGGAAAATAGCAGGTCTGCTCTGGCCTGGGCCCAGTGGCTAGCAAGAGCTTTCCTTGTCTCTTCCTTCAGTGCCATACTTCAACTCAGTGAAGCAATTACAGTCTCTCTGTACAGTCTCTCTGCTGATACGGGGACCTATCAGCAGGAAGGGAGCAAGGTCTGTGGAGAAGGCAGAGTCCTTAGGAGTGGCTGTGCCAGGTGAGATTCACTCTCAAGGGACTGAGAATACACCCCAGATGAGGAGAGGAGAAGGACATGGCCTAAGAAGTGTGAGGCCCAACAACTAAGTTGGAGCCATAGATAGGTACTGGGACCAGAGGTCAAGCTCCTAGATGACAGGTTGTGGGTGGAGCTCAGCTCAAGGTGCACTGATGTGAGTACTTCACAAGTACTGGCTGCGTGCTGAGGTGCAGGCTGCTTACTAACCCAAAGAGGGGCTGCTCCAACATCAAACACACAAAACTAAGTAAAAGTTAAAGAACAGTTTAAAGAAAAGAGATACTTGGGCCGGCCCGGTGGCGCACTGCTACAGTGCGCCGCTTGGGAAGTATGGTGGCGCTCCCGCCGAGGGTTCGGATCCCACGTGCAGACCGGCGGCTCACTGGCTGAGCGAGGAGCGGGGGCAACACCGAGGGTTGCGATTCCGTTGCCAGTCCCGGCCCGGTACGGGCGCGACACTGAGGGTTGCGGTCCGTTGCTGGTCACGAAAAAAGACAAAAAGACAAAAAATTAAAAAATAAAATAAATAAATAAATAAAAAATAAAAAAATAAAGAAAAGAGATACTGATAACACTAAGGCCCAGGGTTCAATCCCTGTTCCGGCCAGCCACCAAAATAACAACAACAACAAACAAACCCCCCCCCCCCCAAAAAGGGACAAAGTTTAATGCATGGATCAAATTAGACACTGCATGTCTATAAATCTGCCTTAAATCTGCCTCCCTTTGTTTGTGGAAGGGACTTCACTGAACTATACCTTTATATTATGCCTTCCATATTCATCCAAGTTCATTACAAGAAACAAATGAAAACTGCATTAGCATTTGCTATTCATCTGTTGAGAACATTCTCCACTATTTCAATCAAATAAGTGTCCATGTGAGAAATTTCTTTTATAATTTAACCCCAGGAAAATTTTCTTCCCCAAGGAATCAGTTACCAGAATGGAAAGTTAATGCCTTGGCTACCAGGAAGCTCAGCCACATTTGATTTTCAATTACAGCAGCTATGTTAACCCATATTAACCATATTATAAATCCTCCTCCTTATAATCTCATATCCCATTTCTATAGTAGGATATTTTTGTTAAGTACTCTAAACTTTTTTTTTTAAAGGCCTGTATAAGAATACATTTGTAGCTGGTTGGTTAGCCCAACTGGTTAAAGTGCAGCCTTAAAACACCATGTTCACAGGTTTGGATCCCTGTACCAACCAGCCAGCTGCCAAAACAAAAGGATACACTTGTGGTGGGCACCCAGAACCCCCTTCAAGAAAGGACTTTTTGCTCCAGCTGTTGGGAGAAAACCTTCAGCTGTCAGCCCCCTAAGATCACCTCAGTGCAGATAGCTGTCTGGCTGAGGCTGGGCTCTTTCCAGAACAGTTCATATCTATTTCGGGCCAGTGCAGGACAACAGAGCTCCCTGGGGCTTGGCTGAGGCTGCCATTGGTCTTGCATTGCAGCTTAATTTCTCCCTGTGCCCACTCCTATTTCCTTCCTTTGCCTTCTACAGTGTTGGTCCCAGGGGTACTCCCTAATAAACATTCTGCATACTAACCTGTCACAGAGTCTGCTCCCAAACAAACCAATCTATGACAACACTGAACAAACAACTAAAAACAAAACACATCAGGTAGGGAGACTTTGAAAAGGGGTGAGCATACACAGTAAAGTGTTCATACATACATGGAAGGCAGATTAGCATTAACACTGGAGCCAGGCTGCCTGGGTTTGAATTTTGTCTCTGCCACCTATTAGCTGTGGGATCATGGGCATGTCTCTTAATCTCTCTGTGCATCAGTTTTTTCATCTGTAAAATAGGGGTAAAAAGAGTACTTGTGTCATAGGGCTGTAATAAGAAGGAAATGAGCCAATGTAGATACAGAAGTATTTACAACAACCACTGTTCTGAGTGGTTATTAAATAAAATAAACAGCTGTGAGGCCAAGCCCTCAGGGCCAGGGGGGCAATTGGGCTGGGACTCCCCCCAGATTCCCAGAACAGGTATGGCATAGACCAGTGTGTGCTGAAACATGAGCGTTCACAGAAATAGGCCCAAGCAGCACTAGCCTGGGTGATGTATATGGGTGTGTACCTTGTGTGGGTGCTGGGCTGCTCCTCCCAGACAACGCAGCTGCATGCACTGCCAGTTGCGCCCACACACCCATATCTATGCTGAGCTGGGGGAAGCCCACACCAGCCACACCCTCTGCGTGCCCTGCTTTTCCTGAACCTCCTTTGGTGGAAGGAGGCACCTGAGACCTGGGATGCTGGCCCAGAAGTCCCAGGAGGAAATGGGGCCCTGTCCCTGATTACTGGCCTGGCAGCAGACTGAAAACTGGAGCTCCTACTGGCAGGGATTTCTGAAGCCCCTGGGGGTCTGGCCTCAGAGGCTAGAGTAAAAGCAAGGAAACCTGGGCTGCATATTGAGAAGGTCCCAGAAAACACAGAAACAGATTTTTAAAAGTTTATCATAACCTGTAGGCTGCCTGAGTTGGCACAGAAAGTTCAGTGGGGCTGCAGCACTTTGGAGGGTGCCTCCTAGAAAAATGAACAAGATCAGACAGGCAGGAAGAGGCCCCACTCAGCCCTCACCTGCCTTCCCGGTTTCTCTTCTCCCCTGCCTCCATCCCCCGCTACCCCTCACTTGGTTACCTCCAGCCTTGTTTCTATTCCTAAACTCAATAACCTCTTCTTGGCCGCAGGGCCTTTGCACATGTTGTTACCTCTGCTTGGAAAGTCCTTTCCTCCAATCTACCCTTAATAATTCACCTGGCCATCTACTCACATCCTTTAGGCCTCTGCTGAGTCCTAAAGAGGTCTTCCCTGTCTCCTCAGTCTGAAGCAGATCTCCCTCATGATCTCATAACCCTCTATTCTTTTCTTCTGTAGTCCTCATCACAATTGTCTTTACATAACACAGTGTTTATTTGCTTAATGTCTGTGGATTCCTGGAGAGCTGGTGTTGGGTCTCTCTTGTTCTAACTCATGTTGCCAACGCCCAGCACAGGGAAGCTCAAGGGCCACAGACGGGGGGCAGCACCACTTTAAACTGAGCCCATCTACGCCATACTCTGAGCACTCATGTTCTGATGGGTTCCCTATGCCCAGGGCCAGCCTTGGGCATGCCTCGCTTCACCCATACTGACTAGCCAGCTACCTTCCATGGCCCCTGGCCACTGACCATCAGGACTTACCTAAGCTAGTGACTCTCTTGTAAGGCAGAAAACACACGGAGTCAGACAAACTTGGGCTCAAATTCCCACTTGTTAGTTGCAGAACTTCTCTGAATCTCCGTTTCTGCCTTAGTAAATTGGGACCATCTTCCCTGATTAGAGAGAGGGTAATCATGAGGATCAGTGTGATCACATGTGTACGCCTTGTAGCTCAGGGCCAGGCACTGGATCAATACTAGCTCCCTCCCTCCCACTTTAAAGGTCTGTCACTAGGTGGCAGTCCATCACAGCTACCCCACCTTCCCTTAGGCGACTGAAGCCTGCTAGGATGAAGGATCTCAAAGTCAAGCTGAATTTTGAGCTTCTTAGGGGCCACACCTGAGGGAATCAAAACACATATGAAACAAGTGACCCCTGCAGCAAGAAGAAGGCAGAAGCAGCCCCATACACTGTACCGGTCACTATCCAGCAGGGTGAGCTGTCTGAGCACACACTTACATCCTCACAAATTCTAGTCTAAAAGTCTCACAAATCCTTGGAAATCTGGATCTTTCTCTAGTGTCAGGTGGATGTTCTGCAGGGCCTCTTACCTCTGAAATGCAGTAAGTAGTCCTGCTGTGCCTGGCAGTTGACCAGCTGCCTGCCTCAACATCTGTCAGATGGGCTTCACCATGACAGTAGGTGTCCTAAATTTTGGCGGTGACAGGGGTAGACAGATAGCAGGGTGGGTTTAGCAAACAGCTTCAGGAAGATGAAGAGCGTGAATTATTCAATAACCACAAAAAGGGCTTGCAGCTGGAGAATGGAGAGTGGTGAGGGATGAAGCTGGAGAGAGAGGAAGGGGCCAGGTCACATAGGACCTGCTGAGCCAGGTAGGGAGTGCATATTTTAAGTGCAATGGAAGTCATAGAGGATTTCAGGCTGGAGGTAGATCATGATTTAATTTCATTTGAAAGATTAAAGCAGGGAGAATAGATGCAGGCAAGACCAACAAGGGTAAATAGTCTGGATGAGAAGAGATGGAGCCTTGGTGACCCGGGGGTGAGGCAGAGAGAGGAATCAAGGTTATCTGCAAGATTTTTGGTCTAAGTAACATACAGATGTTTTAGTGCCACGTTCAGAGAGTGAAGACCGTGGAACAAGCATTTGCAGGGATAAGGTGACAGCCCGTGGTAACTGGGGATGCGGAGCAGGCAGTGGGACGCTTGGGTCTGGAGGTAGGGGGAGATACAGATTTGGCGTCACCGGTGCCTGCGTGATGGGTGAAGCCTGGAAAGGTCAGGTCGTCTTGGAACTGGCTCAGGACTGAGTCCAGAGGCTTCTGAGGCCGAGGCGGCGGCCACAGAGGGGGGGGGGAAACAAGGCCGAGAAAACCAAAGTTCAGGGGATCATTGCAGGAGGGGTGCGCTGAGGTAGGCCTGAGCCTACGCCCCGGATCTGACCCGAGTCTTGCCGCGTGTGGAGCGAGCGTGACGCGGGGCGGGCAGCAGCCGATGCGAGGGACAGAAAAGAAGGCCACAGGGGGCTGCAGGTCAGGCCTCCGGACAGCGCGACCCGTCGGTCTAAAGGCCCTGCAGGGGACGCTCACGTCTGGAGGGCCTCTCCGACTGAGAGGACCCACAAAGTAGCCGCACAGACGTGGCTCCGGCCGTCTCAAGAGTGGCCTGCGGGCCAGCCCCGCGCGACCGGGGAGGAGGCGGGACAGGCCTGCCGTCCATCAGCGCGCGCCGGCCAATCCGCAGGCGGCCCCGCCCCCGCCCCTCCCCGGAGAGGGCGCGCA